CTTCATCAATGATATATAGAAAATTTTCTTTTAATACTGCGGTAGTAGTACTATTCTCTTATTGCTTATTCGTTGGGCTGATTTGGTCTAGCTTAACATTATCGACCTTCTGGTATCTCTTGAAGGATCGAGATTCTATTTTCTTGTGGCCTATCCTTCAACAATAGTAGCACGTAATCTTCGAGCATGACTTGGATCTACCTTGGGATTGATGAAATCTCAGCTTTTGCTATTCCTCAAGTTTTATTCCTACCCCTGTTCTCAATAATATTAACTTAGGGATGAATAGATTCGCCTTGTTCTATTCTCCTTGCTTCTTCACCGAGGAGGCTATCACTAATAGTATACATGGTGAGCTTTCCTTCCGGAGCTGAATTACTAAGTGTAACAACGAGTGTATCACAACTTTCTGGTAAGGAACTGAGGAGTAGAAAGGCTTGTAACTCATCGTCAATTTTCATCTCAGTTTTTGTTAATTGATTTACGAGCCCTTGAAATTACTTAAGTTCTCAATCATACTTTGACCATCCTTATACTCCAATTTCACCATCCTTATACTCCAATTTCACCAACCGTCGAACTAAATTGGCTTTGTTACGAGGCGTTTTCCATTGAATCATTGACTCAAGCTTTGTCCATAATTCATAAGCATTTGTATAAGTAGAAACATGCTCAAATAGGGTTTTATCAATATACTTACGGATCATAGGAATGGCCTTCCGATTTAGTAGCTCCCATTGAGCATCACTCTTGCCTTCTACCTTGTCTTTATAGATGATGGGCTCATGTAAATCCTTGCAGTACAGGTGGTCCTCCATCATCGGCTTCCAATATGAGTAGTTATTGGTTGTGAGCTTGATCATGTCTCCATTATAAGCGATGTTATCCTCCATCTTGAACTGCACGAGCTAATTACGGCTACAGATGAACCTGAATCAGATACCACTGTTGGGAATAATGGTCTTTCATGCTTCATGAAGTTAAGATAGACACTTAGAGATTAAGGATAATAAAGAAAGCACAAGAATATAATTCTCCAATTTGGAGATTCTTCCACTATTCAAAAGAATGTAGGATTACAAGGATGTGTTCACAAAATTTTACTCACACTTGGTGGCTCGCTCAAGCTTGAGGATAAAGACTTCCCAAGCTATCTCTCTTCTCTCTCAAAGAGGTCTCTAACCCTCTAGTTTCTCACTCTAAGAAGTGGACTCTCTTAGTGTTTTTGGATTTTGGATGGTTAAGAATGAAGTTTCTCAACCCTATTTATACTACTCCACCTCCACAATGAATGGTGTAGATTACTTACATCCAAGGGTGGAGGTTAATTATCTAGAATGCTCCACACTCTAAGAAGCTCTACACTCTTCCACTCCCTTCCATATTCTTCCATAAGGTTCCACACATCTCCATAGGATTCCACACTCTTCCACAAGCTTCTATAGAGTTCTACACTTCTCTAAAGTTCTCTAGAATGTTCTAGAAAATTCTACACTTCTCCATAAAGCTCTAGAATTTTCTAGAACCTCTCCAATTAAGGAGGGATCCAACATAAAGCTCTCAGATTTTTCATCGCTTTAGAGGATTCGGGCTAGCATAAACAAAAGTAATGAAGAAAGAGTGATGAATCACTAAATTCAAACAATTACCATAAACATACTGATTAGAGACAACCATGATGTCAAGTTTAACATAACTCACTACGTTACCTAAATATCTCCTGAAAAACTTGAAGCTTTAACTTTAAATAAGAACTCAAAACCCAAAATTTTGACAAAATTATCCACCTTCGAACCACTCACCATTAGCTCCAAAAGGGTAATAATATTAGGATTATACAAATGCACTAATAACTTAAAATAACATCTAAAGACAGAGCCAAGTAAGCCCTGTATATTCTAAAAAGTTGTATTAACCATAAAAACACGAAGAAAGGAGACCCAAGGGGTTATTCACCCCCTCAAAATCATTGTTAGAAAACCATTGCAAATATCTATTAGGAATATATGAAAACTATCAACATTCCCAATCGAAATTTCATTCTTAGTCTCACCACTCATTGTATCGAGGTGGATAGGTATTTCATCAACCATTGCATTGACTCCTTGCGGGTTTGGTTCGTGCTTCTTAGCTTTTGGTCATCTTCTAGGCAATCCTTTGAATGTTTTGATTGATTATTTTGGAATTTATGTTTATGATTGGCCTAGTCAATGAGTGATTAATTGAGCTTCAAGCATCACCTACATCATCTTAGGACGCCATTTGTTCCTGTGATAGTTCCCTTAAAACCACCACTTTTCTACTATGTATTGATTTTTCAATTTTTGATGCATTACCTGCCCCACCCACTAAGAGGTCCTTCAATTGGTTTGGAACTATCTTCTTAGTCACTTTATGATCTCCAACTGATTTCCTTAGATCACTCAACAACATATTCCCTTATAGCCTTTCCTCTAACGAGATTACCAGCCTCGACCACCTTCCTATCTATAGGAGAAAATTTCATCTCATTCATGACATGCATCGTAGCATTGGTCCGATCCTTCTCCAAGCCATTGGTTATATATGTAGTTAGGGCATCAAATCAACTTCTATCACCCTACTCTATAGCATGGTTCGATCCTCTTCCAACTTTCTACTAGTTATCACTTTTCTTCTTTGGTTCGTTACTTGCATCCAATGATCAAATAAATCTCTACCAGATGCTCCGCGTGGAATGTTTATCCACTCCCATACTTTGTCTGACTTTTACCCTGAACTTATCTTTAGTATGACCGAATTTCTCACATAAAAAATATATAGTCAAGAGTCCCTCATATTCAATGTCAACCTGCTTCCCATCTATAACACCGTAGTACCTTTATAAGATCAACAACCACAACAAGTCAAGCAAAACGACCTATTTTGCCCTCCATTGTGTTAAAATCAACTCGCACCGCCTTCCCAATGGCCCTTGAGATATATCAAAGGATACTCTTAATATAATAATGATAAGAAAGGCGAGGTAGTCTTACCCAAGCTAGGATTATCGAAGGATGAGTCTCAGATATTGAGAAACTTCTACTCCATGGTTACACCGTTAAATTGCTTCCATAAATCACATACGATCCTCCAGCAAGAACTTTGTTAGTCTTCCTTCTGGGCAAAACAGACTAAAAAATACTTATTATTTAGATCCATAAGACTTATTACATCACACAAACCCCATAAAGATTAAATTCTATTGAGTAAATTTCTATATCCAATGGTCTTGCCAAGAAACCGAACAATGATAAATTTAGCAAGTTTCTAATCCATCGTTTGATACACTCGTTCCGAAAACCTAATTTTAGGTAAAAACAATCATTGTCCCATATGATCACATCATCATCAGATATCTCAACATCCAAGTCTTCAATCATTGCAGTATGGGATTTGATATTTTGATTCCCCACAGCCATATCATGAAAAGAAATTTTACATGGTCCATTATTTGGGTCGATATGATCCTTATTCCCTTCTTAAGCGGTCATGGTATTAGTTGTTTGATTGTTCTGCCCATTGATACCCAAAGTGACCTTCTCATCAGTCTTAAATAAGTTTGGACAATTAACAACATTCTAATTCATCTTGGGCAAAGACCATAAGCTCTCTTCTGTTATTACATCTGCCATCATGACATCACCACCCTTCCTTTCGGTAATCTTTTCCACAATAGCTTCATACTTACCCACATCTCGCGAGGGCAAAGGATTGTCTGATACACTGTTTCCATCCACCCGCTGACCATTGTTCTTTAGCGACATCGTGTCCCTCGAAACAGGGTCTCAATCTGGCGGCTGGCCACTAGGGGTGATTGAAGGATTCAAAGATGAAAACCCTTGATAGAAAATTTAAGTTAACCACCGACTTTTTTTTTATTTCTCACAGTTTGTATATTCTCATTTGTTTGTCAACAACTAAAAATAAAATTTATACAAATCAATCTATCTCGATAGTTAAAGAAACGGTTGATATTTCTAGAAAATTCAAGTTCCAGCCCCAAAGACTACATAGTATTTTGAGTATTCACTGTCAAATCGTTGAGAATAAATATTATCACTTGTAAGCAATCTAGATTAATAACAAAAATTGTAGAACCATCAAGCAACTTCAATTTGTTAAACATAGTGTTATTTTTTTAAAATATTTTAGATTCGAACAATTATGTTTACAGAATATATTTATTATCAACGATTAAGAGAGATTATAAACAGTAATGGGAGTTTGGAATTAAAAATTTAAAGAGTTTGAGTTTTTTATATTTTAGAAAAAATAGATCTTTTTAAAATATTATATATATATATATATAAGCGTGACACATGTCAGACACAATTTTTAACGATCGTAATAGATTAGGCACTTAAAAGATAACGTTAAAAACGTTAAGCACCTACATTGACTCAATAATACTTTGGGCACCTAAAATGAGCAAAAAGGTATTTAAACAAATATTTTTTCAATAATCCTAAAAATACAAATAAAAAAAGAAGAAAAGGAATTTAAAGAAAGGCTGAAGTACACACATAATTTTTAAAATAATATTTAGCCATTAAATTTTCAGCAGTTATAAAATAATCAATAAATTTATTAAATTATTACAAAATAATTATTTTTTAAGCTAAACGTACTTTGAAATATCAACCACAAACAGCATCTGTAGCAAGAACATTTGAAATGCATGGAGGAAAATCATAAGCATAGTAACGAGGTATAGTAACCGTTAAAGCAAACTAAGCGATGTAGTGGGCAGCTTTATTGGTCGAGCGTCGGATGGCAAGAACGATGATGTGAGGATGGTCCCTTAGTAACCTTCGTGCTTCTGCAAGGTGGAACGAGGTAGTAGAAAGATCCAAATGTGTAGAATATAATTGTTGAATAACATTGGAGGCATCACTTTCAACACTAACTGATGTAAATCGGAGTTCAATAGCCATATGTAAAGCCTTTGTTATTGCTATAGCTTCAACGATAGCCGCATCTTAAGGGACCTCAACTGGAACAACATTAGCAGCAATCACTATCCCTTGATGATCCCCAGCAAGAAGACCAACAGTGGAACATCCATTACTAGGAAGGCAAGCACTGTCGACATTAATTGTCACCGTCGTAGCCTCGGGTTTGTGCCAACGGTCTGATATAGACAATTCCGGCATCGTAGTTGCACTAGAGAAACTTTCTAGTGCTATAAAACCTTCAAACATTGAGAAACAAGTCTGCACCAAATTCCAGTCCGGTATAAGACGACCTTCATGCCAAAATGTGTTGCGTTGGTGCCAAATATTCCAGAGGATGATCAGATATAAGGAGAACCGGTGAAGAGGTAACTGCTGGAAGCTAGATAACAACCATGCTCGGCTAGACGTTGCAGTAGTGACCAACGAAATGAACCCAGCCAACGATAGCAAACCGACAACCATCGTGCATTCGCAGAAGGCGTGTTTGATAGTTTTCAACCCATCGGCACACATACAACAAATACCAACAGACAACCCGGCTTGAACAAGACGAGAGGCAGTTGGAAGAGCATCATGTCCCAGACGCCAGCCGAAAAGTTTAATCTTTGGTGGAACCAGTAGGCGGGACAGAATTAACCAAATAGGGTCAGGAGTAGTCGGAATTACCTGTCGACGATGTTTTTGGAGAAAGAAGTAACCAGATCAAAATGAAAACACCCTTTTCAAATGGCCACTCCAAACAATACGATCACAAGCCACAGGTGCCATGGGGCATTGCAATATTCGAGCAACATCAGCAACTGAGAAAACTCTTTGCACCAAATTAACATTCCACTGTGTTGAATGTGGAAGCATAAACTCGCCACAAAGGACATGGGCATCACTAGAATCAGTGTAAGAGGAATTTAACTGCATCAGAATCGAACCTCCCCATCTATCGACGTGCATCTTAACATTACTGTCCATTCCAATGCGCCAATGGAACCCCAGGCGAAGACGTTGTAGAGCAAAGAATATCCCACGCCATGCAAATGATGGAGTTGAGCCTAATTGTGGATCGAATGTATCACTGGATGGGAAGTACTTGCAGGATAGGACCTTAGCCACCATAGATTCAGGATATTGAATGCATTGCCAAATTTGTTTGCCCAAAAGCGCGACATTGAAATGGCAGAGGTCGCGAAAGCCAAGTCCCCCCAACCCTAAATATCCTGTCATGCGACAAGCGGCCACCCTCTCCTACAATTTGATGCTGACCATCAATAATCACGTAAAGTTTACTCAAAATCAGCAAAGATTCCTTTCGGTAATAAATAGCAGCCCATAACATATGTCGATAACGCCTGTCCAACCGATTGAATGAAAACTTATCAAAAAAATGTATAATTTCATAAACTGCAATGATTATTTTATTTCAAAATTTTAAAGACCAAAAATTATTTTAATATAGTTTAGCGACCGTTTATATACTTCAGTATTATAAGAAAAATACTACATTTCTTCTTAAACTTCACCATGAACGCACACATCAGTTCCAATCACATCACTCTTTTCATTTTGATAGAGAGTGATGACGTGATAATTAATAAAATTAATATAATTACACATTTGATCTTCAATATTTTTATATATTATATCAATATGGTCATAATTTTTGTAGACACTTATTTTCGTCTGAGGTTTTTATATAGCATAATATATATAATAAATATAGTTTTTGAAATATATAATATATATTTTTTTTTAAAAAATAGTTTTGAAAACGTATAATATATGTTTTTTAAAACGGTTTTGAAAACATATAGTATATAGTTTTTTAAAATAATTTTGAAAATGTATAATATAGTTTTTAAAATATTTTTGAAAACGTATAATATATAGTTTTTAAAACGGTTTTGAAAACCTATATATAATATAATTTTTAAAAATGGTTTTTGAAAACGGTTTTTGAAAATATATTACTATATTATATAGTTTTTGGAAATATAATATATGTTATATAGTTTTTATTATTTTTATTATTTATTATTATTTTAGGTTATATTATTATTATTTATTTATGAGTTAGCAGGCCTGACCCAGCAAACCAGCCCGATTAGGGGGGCCTGACATAGCCCACATGTAAAATAGGGTTTCACAAATCAAGCTCAACGTCGCATCTACTAGAATCATCAGATCAAAACATAAACCAACAGATGAGATCGAAGCAAAATAGGGTTTCAAATCCCTAATCATATGAAGCCAAACATCGCACGAGAGGAAGCAAGCAGCGCGCGTGGAGGCCACGTGCCAACCAGTTGGCCGAGACTTTCGGCTGAAAACCTAGGACTGAACCATCCTGGGATTTCCGACCCAACGATGACCTCAACAAAACGTGAACAAGTCGGGAAACAACCTCAAAAAGATCAAGGATGACCCTGAGATCATCGGGACCCAAATGATCGATCGAATGCTATAAAAGCCTCGTCGGGGAGAGCAAAAAACATAGGAGAAAAACGAGCAGCAAGACCACCATAACTAACAAAATACCAAGAGAAATGAAATAACATATAGCAACATCGAGCAAAAAAACCAAAATCGGCGAACAAAAAAAAAAAAAACAACGTCCGAACACTCACCGAAAAATCAAAGAGAAACCAAGGTCTGTAGTCACTTTAGAATCGGGAAGGCCTCGGTCGGCAGAAGTTGAAAGGATTCGTCGAAAAAGGTAAAATTCACAACTTTCACCCTAGATCTACGTCGTTTAGGATTTTTTTAGAGGATTCGGGTTTCAGATTTGGGTTTAGGGTGTTGAGGGGAGTATTTTGGTGAAGTTTGATTTTTTTGGCCACCGGGGGCGGTGGCAGTCTAGGCCGGCGAGTGGCCTGTTAGGGGAGAGTTGAGAGAGAGTTTTTTTAAAAAGGGGAGAGTGTTTTTAAGGAATGGGTGAAATATGAGATAATTTTTGGTTTTAGGGATTATATATATAGATGACTAAGGTGCAAATATCAAAATTTTAAATTATTTCCGCAGTCTATGGAAGTTTGAAGTGTAATTCATTTTGGTCACCTGTTGTGAATTTACCCTTGAATTTTTTCAATTTAAATCTAATCATATTTTTTATATTTATGCAATTAAGCCCTCTAACTTCTTATTTTTTTCTTGCAGCCCGTAATTAATGTCAATTTATCCTTTGATGCTTAGTTCCTTTCAATTTAATCCTTTAATTCAAATTTTCTTTTAATTTTTTTCATTCATTTTTTATTTTATTTCATTTTACATTATTATTTCACACTAATTCAATTTATCTTCTCAATTTTATCTTATTTTAACTCTAGTATTAATTCTTTTCAATTTCATTTTATTTTATTCTCTTATAAAAATTAATTTTTATTTATTTTTCATTTTATTTTATTCTCTTATAAAAATTAATTTTTATTTATTTTTAAAATCCTTTTTGTTTGTTTTATTTTATTATTTAATATTAATTTAGCTTTTAGGGACAATTTCAATCGGTCAAAGGTAAGTAATTCATATCGAACCTTTAAATTTCAATTTAACTTTAATTTTTGCAATAAGATAACCGAAAAATTAAATTGGTATCGAAAGGGCAGTGCAAATGTACTAATCCTTCCTTGACTGTAACCGATTCTCAAACCCGACATATTTATGGTAAAACGCAAACCAGGTAAGATGATAAAGTGAGGTGTCTGGTCAACCTAATTTAAAAAAAATGATCAGCAACAGCTCTAGCATGTTTTATTTAAGTCGAAGCCCAATTTCGGGCTCACCCAAAGGAAGGTTACGACAGCTTGGCGACTCTGCTGGGGACAGGTAAGTGAGTTGGCTAAAATTAATTTCTGGTTGTCTTCTTAAGCAAAAATTGTAAGCTTAAATTTTAATTTAACTTTTCGATTCTTATTATTTACCTTTGATTATTGTTTTTTAAATAAATAGTCGTACTGTTGTTTTCTAATGACTTTAGCTTTTCAAAAATTCATCTCAGGCTCTATACCCAAGCTCCAAACCCAAGCTCCAAACCCTTTCGTAAGTAGAGGTGAAAGCGACGCCTTCGTGGGAATTTATTCTTCGTATAGGCCTAGCAAGTAACCTTCGAGATTCATATACCTTATGTCTTTGTGTGAATTTATTCTACGTACAGACATAAGTGAATGTGTCCTCTCGAGTTTAACTCGGTTCACACAAACTTGTAATGGGCTTAGGACTGAGGGTTTGGCAAGCCCAAGGGGAACCAGAAAGGAGAACTCGGGTACCTTTTTTTAGAACCTAAACAGGGAGACTACAAGGAAATAGAGCCCACCCCGAAACTCTATTTCAAACCTAGGATACTTGAGTTATTTCCTGTTTTACTTTCTATTCAAAGCATGCAAACTATAAAAATATGCAGTTATGATTTGCTCAAAAATTAACATGCGGGATAGAAATCATGTCCGGGTAAGAATAAAAGCATATGGGGTAAGAATTTTTACTTTCATTATTATTTTGATTATTATTTTTTATCTTACTAACTTGTTTCCCTTTCATTTTTTTTGTTGTTTTCCATTATTTTATTATTTGCATCATTTGATAGAGGTGATTGATCCACAAAAAGTTTTATTAAACACAAATAATTTGCATTAATGGACAAAGGGGTTGTAATGCAAGAGGTGAAAAACACAAAGCTCTTACTATGGTCAGAAATGACTCAGAAGGAAAAGAGAGACAGTCTGTAAGGCAATTATGTGTCAGATCTGGTTGGTTATGCTTCTGTCAGCCTTAAGCAGAATGATGTTCAAGAATTACAGAGCATTTGGGACAGATGGAAAATCGACCATAAATGGAAATTCTGCCTGCGATATGGTGATATCACACTTCTACTTTATGTTAAGATAGATAAGCTCTTAATTTGAGCCTTAGTGCAATTCTAGAATCCGAGGTACAGTTGTTTTACATTTAATCAAGAAAACTTGGTGCCTACAATCGAAGAGTATACTACTTTACTGCATTATGAAAGAATCAGAATGGACTGGGTCTACACCAAGCATATCAATGGTTAACCTTTCAAGAATGGGTTGGAAAAGGTTGTAGGGGTAGATGAAGTGTGGGTAACTGACCAGATTCAGCACAAGGGTAAAGGAGAGGGAAATTCTTGGACCCATATAAAGCAACTAATAAAGAATCATCCAGATGAATGGAAGATGATAGACCTTTTTGCACTAGGTCTCTACGGCTTGGTTATCTTCCCAAAAACTTTGGGATATATTGAGGCGGCTATGGTGGAACTGTTCGAACAACTACCTAAGCGAGTGAACCTGACACCAACAATATTAGCTAAAACTTTTCGTTCACTCAACCATTGCAGAAAGACTGGGGGAGGAAGATTTATAGGGTGCACACAACTTCTTCTGGTCTGGATCCATAGTCATTTATGGAAGACTGACGGGTTTTCTTACCACCGATTTAGCATCACTTACTCTCCTCTGGTGGAATTCTTTACACTAAAGTTGCAAAAAGGTATCCCAAAAGATAAATGGGTAAAGGTATTCACGCACTTTCAAGATAAGGACATTTTCTGGAGAGCCCCTTTGTTAACCCATAGTGACATCCTTTATCGATGTGGAGACTCATAAATCATAACGTTACTTGGATTATGGGGAGGAGTCGGATATTCTCCACTTTTGGCACTTCGGAAATATAGGGCACACCAGTTTATCCCAACTACACATCGAATATTTGGATTGGAATTTGCATACCATGAGGACAACTATAAGAAGAAGGTCAAAGATGTAGCTAAATCATAGAAGAAGATATTTTGTATGGATGTCGTGACTGCTAAAGACGTGCTTACTCCAGATTATTTGGAATAGTAGAAGTTAAGAAAGAATGACATCATTCCCGTGCCAGATCATAAAGATACTCAGACCATGGAAGAACATCTTAAACCAGTTCCTTTCGAATTGGAGATAGCAAAGAAAGAATTCGAAGCTGAAAAGGAAGAGCTGAAACAAAGGCTAAGGGAACTCGAGGCTAAAAGATTCCAGTGGAAGTTAGATGTCGATACTCAGAAATATCGGGCAGACAAGTTAGAAAAAGAACATAAGAAAGTTTGTTTTAAGCTGGAAGATTTGGGA